CTGATCAAACTTATCAGCTGGGTTGCTAATGTTATCTAGTGACACTAAGTGATTTTTGAGGGGTTCATAGAAGGCCAAAATTTTCTTCATTTCGTCGAGCTCTAATTGCAAGAAGCAGACTTTAGCGCTAAGTTCAGATGTGAGCTAAGAGGCTGGAGAAGAACAGTCTAATGGTAGTTTTACGGTATCACATTTTAATCCTTTGGGCCGTGACACAGAGGGTACATTGTCTTTAGGTAGGCGAGTGCGTTTGAACTTTGGTGGGGCCATAGCAAACTACGTGTCAACAGTCAGATTAATGGGGTAGAGGGAAGGTGACAAAACCAACCTGTTCTGACTTGATTCAATGCACCCTGGTTTCAGATCACACGGTTGAGGAAACGCCGCACGGTCGTATGGCTGTCGGTGCGAGTTGTAATCTGGCTAGGGAACTGATCGCGGCCAGGCGACGCAGTTGAGACAAAGGCGGGGTGTATCGATCGTCACCGACCGTGAGAATTGGTCCGTCGATGCCGTCAGCTAGCGGATGCGAGAGTTGACGATGAAGACACAGAAGCTCAGATAGCAGTCACAGAAGGCACTGCGACTACCGAACGGAATGTCAGAAATCAGCAAGATGATTTAGGTAATGAAGCGATGGAATACTTCCTACGCTTTGCGATGCACTGGGTAGTGCTAGTAATTCCGATTCGAATGTGTGGAGTTTAGTTGGCGTGTGATATGGCGGACGGGGAAAATCCACCACAAGGCGGAACACAGAGTGATTGAAAAATGTTTGGCACAGTTTTCTGAGGAACCGTCGGAAGTATTTCCTAGCTTTTCCGATGATAGAACGAGCACACAAGGAGAAATTGAATGGCATATAATACTCCGCGATCGGTTGAAATTGCACGTGGAATGCTTAGAAAGTGACAGAGCGTCGGTTTTGCGTCGGTTTTCGTGTGTCACTCGACCGTTGAGGTACTACCTACCTAGCATGAAAACAAGTCAAAGGCGACATAAAAAAAGGCGTGGCTTGAAAACTGATGATCCAGTTTCGGTGGCAGACGTACGCACCTCAAGGGGTCTGTGGCTCAAGGGAATTCTTGAAGATGCGAAGATGGGGTGCGACGGACTTGTTCGAGAAGTGATTGCTCGAACATACAACGAAAGAATCAGAAATGGTGTACGACATAAATGTTTACTGGAAGAGACCCTCAATGAAGAGGCTGGAACGGAAGTCGAGGGCACCGGGGGAGTGCGAATTACAATTCATGAACCTGAGTGACGTTACTGACAATGAATGAGTATTGTTCTCATCGTTAACATTTCATCACGCCATGCATCCATCTTACGATAATTTGCACATTGACAGATGCTGGATTGTAACCCATAATTATCCGAACGAAATAACTGACATTCGCTTGCATTAATGTTTTATTTTTGTTTACTTAACATTTCCGCCCTTCAAGCATAACCTGAGCTTAAGTATCCAGCCTTTTGTTCCACTGCACTGCGTCTACTTAGCCTCCATTACTGACGCTGTTTGGACTTGAGTGGATTTATTTTACACCCGTTTGCGAGTTATTCACCTATTCGTAAGTCACCTATAGATCTTTGAATTTAAATGCCTGTAGAACCACGGTTTATGCAGTACAACTTATTCCGCCCACCGCCGTCGTATTGTACCGCCCATACCGTACGTGCATTTGGTGATTAGGCTTGTTAGTCTGCGGTACCGGTCGTAGCTACACTCAGACAGCGCGTTGTCTAATTATTGTGGTTGTATTTGTGTAGGTGTCTAGCTCGGACTATATTTCGCCTAGTTGAAACGGTTTACTGGCTCATCTTCTCTTCCGTACGGCACGAAGCAGGCGGTTAAGCGTGCCGCTGTAAATTGGTGATGATCTTGATCTCCGTAATACTATTTAATTGGTTTGGTGGAATACGAAAATCACAGCAGCATGATTTGCCCCATTAAAAATGTGTTGCCAATTTCACTTCTTTTCAAAGATACTGAAACCCTGTCTGCATCTCACTTACGAAAGTTGACCTAAACGCTCTTAGTTGATGAGCCCATAAGGAGCCGCCATACAATTTTCCAGACGTGGAGGCGATGATCATCTCGCTTGTATAAACGAATGCTAAATTACGTGTAACCGCATGAAGCCAGTCGTCAAAATCAGCGTGTTTACGGGCACTCGTGATGAACGTGCTGGCCACGAGATTTTGAATCCGATGCGTAGGACACATGTTTCGCAACGAATGATGTTTTCACACAGCTTACTGCCAAGTAGACTATCCACAACCTTGAGCAATGCGCGTGTTCATACAAAGATGATAGATTTTTCAGAAACGGTCAACTACATAAAGTGCATTCACCGCAGCTAATCACATTGTGGTGCTCATCGAACTCTTGGATAAATATGAACGGCAAGTTCCTTCTGTCATGGCTTACGGTTATTTCCTCAGTTCGATGTTGAATTGATATTTACGGTTCAGCCATGTGCAAACCGAGAGAAATTTGTGGGCCACAGCTGGCGTCGGTAGTTATTATGATGTTACCAGTCGTAGTTTTGGCTGACAGTCCTCCACGTTAATGATGTGTCAGTTGTACGCCGTTAACGGCGCTTCGTTGCAGCGCGACCACTACCAGTCCTGCGCGGGCTGTGTACCGCGAGTACCCTCATTCCTATGCACATACGAACCGGTGACCCCTTGGATGTAATCCAAACGCGCAAACCACTCAGCCAATGTCTGCGTCTCGTCACTATATGCAAGATGCAGGTGAAAGAAATAAAAGGAGATGCACCCCTTAAATTATGAGCTCGCTGTTCATCTACCTTACCTGAGCTGTTTGCTTTGTCTGTAGTGAAAGCTGTTTGACGCAACGATTACACTTCGAGCTATCTTCCATGCGTAAAGAGTTAAATGAGTTCCACAGAGTTCGCAATGTTCTCCATAGGAGAGAAGTTGCTGACACGCCGCAATTTCGCAATGTGACAAGCAGCTTCGCTGAAGCGAAAGCACAACATTTTTGGGATGTTTTTACGAGCCGATGGGCTAAGACAGTCCTCAGCCTTGGCGAAAGTGCTCATTGACGGGGCCTGGTTTTTAATTCTTTGGGATATCCGCTACTTCAAAAATCAGAAAGGATTTCTAAAACAAGAAATTTCTGTTCAATTCATACCGTTGCTTTGCAATAAAATGTTAGGTGTGACGAATGTTCACACTGTTATTAGATGAGAGTGCGGTAACAGTCAAACGTTAGGTCTTCGTTGATAGTCTCGTAAATACTTCGATGAATTTCCGCAGTTTTGAGGAGGTTCAGATTAACGAGTACCAGCGGAGGAAGTGAATTTCATTGCCCCTCCTGGACGGTACTAATACCTGCTGCGTTGCCGCCCACATTAGTTGTTTGGATGGTGCTCTACTATACATTAAAGAATACTAGACGGATTAGATGATAAATTAGTTTGATTTTAATGCATTCATCCCAGCAGCTCAGAAGCGACTTAGCTTAACCACAAGCCGGAAAAGCACCACACGAGTTTTGCCCTATTGGGGCTCCTCAGTGGTGCGCACTCCTTCGGTCCCCTACTGGGGATCGAAGCCATGACTGTACGTGGATGACGCCAATTAGCTAGTAGCTTCAGCCACTCAACCATTAGAGTTAAAAAGGAAAGCCTCCTACTCATAAGTAGTCTGAAAGTAACACGAGACGATTAGGTCCATTTCCATGCCATGAGCCTGAAGATCGTGGACCAACTCATCGTTCCTCCTTCCTCTGGCCTGGTCTGATGCAGAATGGGGAAGTGGAACTGTGACCAATACAGTGCGGGTTACATACGATCTGTGTGCGAGACAAAGACCATTCACATATCTCGACTTTCATTGCGGTCGGTAAATTCTGGAGTCTATTGGGCGAACCATGCGTCCATTACCCAATTGCTTACAGTGGATACCTCCAGCTGAGACGCCATTGTAGCGAGGATTGGGTGCAGAGTGTTAAGCATACGCCACACGAAAAGCGTCTATGGTTATGCTAGTTTCATTGTGAATACACTAAGTAACAAAAATACCTAAAGGTCTGATTACTGCCTGTTAGCCAAGTAGATGAATAAATAGTTTGGTGGGTCATTTTAACACACTCGTGAATGGGTTCCGATGAGCAATCCTAATGTGCACCGCGATTTCCACGGAACTGTTTTTTAGTATATTCAATCAGTGGGGCAGTAATTGCTGAAGCATATGAATATTGGTGTCGTCCGTTCGAATAGACTATTCCTAACAGTGTGAGATACAGTTTAGGCTTCTGGTTAGGTACAATCGTACAAGGGGTCCACGATGACGAATAATTACGCCAGTAAACGAACAAATACGTGTGCTTTTGATTTGGCGAGGCACACCGCTTTTGGTGCGATTGGTCAGCTACACGAAAAAGGTGTACATCGATCATAGTTTGATGGTGTGTCGGTAACATGCGGAATATTACCATGGCCTTGATATGGTATATTACTGGTCGGAGGCAGCCGGGTGGTTTGCAAAGTGCTGTTTGAGCTGGAGCGATTGATATATCCACTTAACCTATTAGGGTCAGTACTCTAGCGTTATTGGTAGAGAAGTAAGACGCCAATCACCACAGCGAATTTGACGATGTCTCCACAGTAATTACAGGAGAATCTCATGCAAGTTGCAAATTGGAAAAGCAAAAAATTGGTAAGTGGGTATAAAATTGGTGAAGAGCACTCTAGCGATATCCGTATAATCAATTTTCATGTATTGTAGGTAACGAAATATGTCACAATTATATGATAACATGTTCAGCAGTATACAGTAAGAATGAGTACGGAGTATGTGCAATTTAACGGCTTCATAGCGTATTCCAGTATTTTCTTTGCTACTTAATGTAAGTAAATTATTTCAGTAGTAAAATGAAATGGCCTAGGATCTAATATCAAATACCTGTTGCATCTCTGACGAATATCCATCACCTTCTGATATTTACCTAACTGTTACAGATGCAACATTAAGAAACGCCACACAGGATTCTTATCCGAGGATGAAAAGAAGACGATTATCGAGAAGGAGAGGGAGAGAGATCAAAAATCTCACCAAATGTGAAGATCATTCCGTTCAATATCACCATATTATATAACGTAATCTACCATTTGCGAAATACACTTTCTATAACACCGACAATTGGGCAGTTTACTTGGTGAATTTTCACGCCAGCTTCATGTGTAAATCATTGAAGAATGATAGTTAAAATGGTTACTTACTTGTGTCCTTTAATTAAAAGCTAAGACGCGTGGTCGAGCTACGCTTGATGTACTGTCTCGCAACGATCGAGAGACAAAGGCCTCTACTGTATCCATTGCTGCCGTCCGTGTCCACTGAGGGTTGATGGAAGTGGGCTCGGTTTCAACTCATTAGCAGCCTTCTAGTCATTTCCCTTTATTGCTTCTTCATCCGGAGGATGTTCAGCCGGATTTTTACTTGCTACCAAACGCCTTTCAAACACCAAGCGGACACAGCTTGACGTCCAACAATCCCATTAATTTGTTTTGTACACTAGTAAAGAAAAACGGAAAGTAATGGCGTAACACGTCTAAGTAAGTCGTTAAATATTTTTATTCATTAGTAGCCCCACCGTTTCAAGTAAGGTGGGTTTTAGATGAAGTAAGTGGCTCAAAAATTTGCTGCTTAGATTTATGGCTGTGGGATTGTGACATTACGATTTGGAACCCGGTTTCCGTTTATCCTGTAGGGTATTTGAAACTATGAAACATGAATTCTTGTTAAGGCTGCAATGGGCTACTAGTTTCTGAATGACCGAAACTCGTCCCAACCGTGTCTTAGTGGGACGGCTAGTGGTACGAAAACGGTCACTTAAAATGCTCCGACTGTCACTGTAGTGGACATTTTTCGGTCACTCATGTTATTCAGACAGGCTGTTTGATCTGGACTTCTTTTAGACGCAATTCGATTATGGCAAAGTGGGGTTATTCAAGTCACGGATCTAATACATCAAGTGATGTCATCCCATCATACGCAAGCTTGCAATTTGGACGAGCTACTCCACTTTCCACTCAGTCGCATCCATAGAAAAGTCAAGTTCCACTTCGAGTAAATCAAGTTCCCACGTAAAGTACTAACGACAGTTCTTACCTCAGTCAAATACCGTTCACTAGTGGGCACACGCAGAGAAGTGCGTACTGTGTTTTGACATTGATCCCTACCTAGCCAATAACATATCGGAAAGGCATAAGAATGGAACTCTAGTATCGCAGTTGAACCCAGAACCACTTACAACGCAGAGCGATCGCGAACTACGTTGTGTGTTGTCATGCTCAATGCCAAAATTTATCCCTCATTAGTTACAATGAAGCAAGTCCCACGCAAGCAATGAGATAATCGTGTGACCGAGCACATTTAGCACGAGTTGGTGTATCGGTAACAGTTTTAGCCGCGAGCTAGCGGCAGTTGAGGTCTTTAATCACAGTTACCGGCCAGCCGCTCGTCTAGACTTTCTCAGCTATTTGCATTTATAGTGAATTCCAACTGCTCCTCAACGGATTAATGTTCTTCCTTAAGGATACTCAACTTAGCTCATTTGGGAAACAAATTGCATCCTGTTTATGCATGCGCACATAGATGTGTACCGAGTTTGCGAATGGCATTCTGACAAGTCTACCCACTGACAGTTGAATCCAGACACAACTGCGGTTCAGCGCGATTGCGCTTGGTGGGGGTTTAGCTAAGCCCCTGTGACGTGGAAGACATCCAAGTGGTAGTTGAGACCATGCTGCATGGAACCCAACCATCTGCTTATTTAGATGAGTAATGTGTGCATTCATTAGCTTGGCCAATGGAGGTGTAGGGGCATGTGCTAGTTCATGAATTGATGCACCAACAGGTTCAAATCACCAAGTTTAGGACGTGTAGGCTAGGCAAGGTCAGCAAACTTCTGAAGTCAGGACGAATACAGACGCGTCAATGAACATGTCCGAGACCTGGGGCCAACGCAGAAGTGAATAGGAAGTGCGAATAATCCCGTTGTGAAGGAAGTCAAAACGGCCTCACAGAGTGTGACTGACCGTTTCGACTAGACTCTCTCTGCTACTTAGGGGCAAAGTGAAAGGTGCCCTTCAATCTCGGCATCAGTTTGCTAGTAACGCAAGGAGGGAAACAATATACAGTGCACCGGAATGTCTACCTTGTGTTCAGCCTAAGCCTTTAATTTCCACCAAATACCACACTAGTGACGGTTCCTCAGGTAGTTCCGCACATGGTCCCCCTACAAATGACACAGGTCACCTATGATTTACGGAGGCAAGACAACTCACGGGCGAACGGACTTATTGCTCAACTTATGACCGCATGAATTACCTGGCAGGCGTTTGACTGCATACTTGCGAACTTTCTTCAAATGTGATGTTAGGCCTGCACCTCATCAACTTCTCACCCCTTCTAAACCTACCGTTGCATCGTAACAGCCAATGCACATGTGCCATTTTAAAAATGGATTAAAGTACACTCAACTGATCTCGTGGAATTAAGGGTGCTGGAAGCTGGTGACTCCCCGTTGGCCAGTAAAACGCTATAGGCCCTGTAGACGGCCAGTGACCTGGTGCAGTTGATCTACCTTAGGGTCTAGGTTGATAGAGGAGCATAGATGCTGCGTTTGGATGAGAAGCGTTTGTTTTTATATCGAGTGAAGAGCAGCCTTGGATTCAAAGTCACACGTTGTTGCACTGTTTCTCTAATGCTTGACAGTCTCTGCTTGGAACGGAATCAGTGTATTAAGCATGGACATTTATGTGACTAAGGCAGTGGTGGAGCGCCCGGAATCGATGAATCGTAAAGCGAGTGACACTTGATGTAAACATGTACTCGAGAAACTGGCTTTACGCACGACCTTATTGTCAGGACAAAATGAGCAAACTTAGGTTTGGCGAAATCGTAAAACGGGATTCTTTAGCAGTAATATTAAATGTACACAATTGGCTCACGGCTATACTTGTTGTTTAGCAGTGAGCGAAAACCGCTCCAACGGTCTGTGCTCCGTGCCAAAGGCAAGGACAGCGGAGAACAACGTTACTTCGGTTGACTACAGCGACTGGAGCGTAAGGCGGCCACAACGAGGACAACCGAACGCCTGATCTATGCCATTCAGACAACTCACCGCACTGCAGATACCGTAGTGATGGACAGAACCAGGAAATTATTGCTGCATTAAGTAAAAGAAGAGAAGCCCAACGCCTTCAACTCATACTGTGTGTACCACTTTGAGTGTAACTTGGCGCCTGCTACAGCGAGAGAACTAGCAGGGTTTGGAAGATCGTAACGAAGGTATACCTTTCGAACTAGATTCAGCGTGGATTTTAATCTACGGAAGTCAGTGTGGTAGGTTCGGAATCGAAATATAATTAGGCTCCAACAAATGTAAGTCTCGAACCGTAGGAAGGATTCTCGAAGTGTAAGTTTACTTTGGCGGATATATATTATAAATGAATTGGTGAAAAGGAATAACGATGATTAACCATCATCACCATACACGTTAGCCAGAGGTGGGGAACACCTCAGCTACTTTGCCTCAATATATAGAAAAAAGGAGAGGAAGAACGCAATTGGTGCAAGCCGGTTGAGCTACCGGTAACGGATGGGCATCGTTCCGGTAAACTACCAGCCGGCGACTGTGCACCAAAAAATTATTATGCAAAATTATATAAGGCTAAATAATGAGATCGTGGTTTGAGGGGGAGGCTAAGAGGGATGGCGTGGGACAAAGAAGCTCACAGCACGAACGCCACTGAGGTCGGCTCCTTGCCATACCAGCAAGTGTGTCCAACCAAACATGTTCATCGTCTTTCGGACCCCAACCAGGGAGCCGAGACGCTCCAACCGAGGCCAGCTCAGAAGTGAGGGCCTTCATTCCTCTGGACCAAGTCATCGCTTGGTCACCCCTCATCTTCTTCCATCCACACCCCCGGCGCGCAAACAACGCACGTCGCGGGAGTCGGTGGGCTGGCATGTGTAACACGTGGCCGAGCCATCGGAGCCTGGTGCGTGAAATAACGGTGCTGAGCGGTTCAGTTCCTTTTTCTGTGCCGTAAACAAGGCGTCGAACAAGCTCGTTGCTCAGGCGGTGTTCCCACCAGATGTGAGCTAAATTGCGAAGGCACCGGTGGTCGAACGCAACTAGCCTCTTCAGGTCTGTCGCTTTAAGGGGCCAGGTTTCACAACCACGATGACCAAGCTGTGTAGGAGGTGATGATTGCACATACAATATTCAATGGTTAATTAACGATAATTAACCATTGAATATTGTATGTACAATCATCACATCCTCCACAGCTTGAATGCAACTCCAGGTTTTTGTAATTCGCTTGGGAGTTGGTTGCAACCTGGCGGATTTCCTTGGGGTTTGACACTGCTCAGAACATTCATGAGAATATAAAACTGAATTGTCATTAGTATTTTCAGCGTACTTAAAATTGAATGACAACTGACCGGAATCCTTACATCATACCTGGTCAACCTGCTTTTATGTACAGAACACGCCTCGAGATGCAAACTTGTAACCATTCGACTTCCAAGCTTGTTAACAATGGTTCCAGATTAAGGACGTAAAACAACCCCTCTACAATAAGACACTTCAGCGGTCCCCAAACTAAGCATGTTCGACCTCAATGGTCTGGATTTACGCAGTGGTGGAATACACACAGTTACGATATTGAAGGAAGAAGGTAGCAACACAGCGATCAAGTTCATCGAAAGAAGTAGGAGCACAGAAGTTAACAGAACGTTTTAATGTTGCAACAAACTTTTCAACTAGGCCAGTAGAGCATGGATGTCGTTGGGTAGTCAAAGGTAACGACACCCAAGGCGCTGCAGCTAAGTGGTGACGATTGAAGATGAAACCTGCGAGCCACTGTCAGTTACAACAGCTAAATTGAAATCCTTCCTTACTAACCACTTTTCTCAGGGCACGGACAATAAAATCAGCATATGGTTTATCAGTCAAGAATACTTCCGGCCATTTTGAATAAAAGCACATCACAACAAATGCATAGTACTGCTGTAGAAATGGTCCACGGCAATCCATATGTATCGTTTGCCAGGGCTCGTATGTCATCGGCCGTGGTGTTCACTTAGACCGTTGTTGTAGAATCTTGTGCTTACAGTTCGGGAACCGAAACAGTTCGCCGAATGTCTGCATCTAATTCCGGCCACCAGCAAAAGCATCAAGCCAAGGGCTGGCTAGCCGAGCAACCT